TTATTTTTTCCCCTCTAATGATCTAGTATAATGTACAAACAGAATTCAGAATCCCCAGCCTGTGTTTGGTTGCAGAATCTAAATCAAACGCTTTTTTTCATCAGCAGAGAATCAACTAACAGTTCTATTTATTTATTTCCTTTTCCTTAAAAGGAACCTTTCTCTTCTTTCTTGCCTTTTTTTTTTTTTCACAAATAATTAGAGCTGATCTATGGTATCCGACACTGAGTTTTCAATTTCTATGTAGTTTTTGTTACTTTTGAAGGATCAAAGCATGATGTTCATACTGATTTAAAATTCCCTGATGCTCCTACCCTGACATTCAAACAAAGTCTCAGCTTGATATAGGTGAAGGATTAATACTTTTTAAAGTACAAACCAAATAAAATCAGAAAAAATCAATCTTTACATCTTGTAAAACATCAACAGTAGATGGGCAAGATGGATCTTCTTCTTCTTCTATCTTTTCAAGTATCCTAAACACTTCAGCATCTGCAACCTTACCAATAAAGTTCCCATCAACTAGGACATTGACCGTTTGGTAGTTTCCATGTACCAAAGGAGGCTTTAGGCTGTGCAGATGGCATAGACCTGCACCAAGTAAACAGAATTTCTCTTAACCCAAATGAAAACAGGCATTTCCCTCATCAAATTCTTCCTTTTTTACCTTTAGCTGGCCCCAGAGCTATGGTTAGCCTCTGCTTGAACTCTAGTCTAGTTGATGAGTCTAGTCCAGTATCTGAAAAACAGTGGATGGATATATAAACTATTGCATTTACAACCATGCAGAAAAAACCAATTTTGTTAAAGGATTCATACTATATAGGTGATTGCACATGCAGCCAATTGGTAAATACTCATAAATTATTTGTGATCCACTTTCTTGACAGTAGCCTAGAAGAGAAACTTTGTTTGGATGTTGAATCTTGGACAAATAGGCCACCTGTTTGTCACATAAACATGTTACTTTCTTTCTGTTTTCAAATGTCTATAGCTAGAGAAAAGTACTTAAATGTGTTAGGCTTCTTTATCAAATTGATCATATCATTATTCTACAGAATGAACCGACCCATATCAAAAGTAGGAGAAATGATGAGAAGGAAAAGAATTCCTGATAAGACATAACATAGATACCTCAGAAAGAAGTTCTGGTGTTGGACCTGAGCACCTGGTTGCCTTTTGATGGCTACAGTAGTATAGTGAAGCAAGCCTTTATATACTTGACTAAAACTTCCATATCCAATAAGGTTACTTTCATCGAATTTTCTTGTGGCTTGCTCTACTCTTCCATTGTGAACTGTTGTGGGCAATGTAGTGCAAATAAAGACTGACCATAAGATGAACTTTGTCCAGCTTCTCTTTCCCACTCCACTGCAATACGCAATGTTGAGGCAGGAATCTTTCAATATCCAACAATAAAGGAATTGTGACATTATTTATGAATTTCTGCACAATGCACCATACCTAGGGCAGAAGGATCTGAGGAACCTGTCTCAAAATTCCTATTAGACAAGTTCTTGGACTGTGACTTGCAGAACCAAAAGAATCCAATGGCTAATATCACAAAAACAAGTGCTCCGGTAACACTTCCAATTGTTGGAGTTGTGGTGTTCAAGCTGCAAAAGTAGCCACAAATGAAAATGAAAGGCTGCACAAAATGGCAGCAAAATGAAGGGAGAGCTGCACCAATAGCACGGTAGCAGCAAAGTGCAGCAAGCTAAAGCTGCAAATGTTGTGGAAATGAGGCTGAAATGAACAGCAAATGAAATGCAAATGCAAATGAAAGGCTGCAAATAGCAGCACAGTACAACAAAATGGAGCTGCACGAAATGGCAGTAAATCTTTGAATGTAATCTTTTGTTTTAAATGCTTAATATTTTCTTGTATTGGGTAAAATGTTAGGTGAGAAAAAACTGTTTTTTTATTGTATTGTTTTTGCTATAAATGTAGTAAAATATCAATGATATCTTTGAGTTGGAGCGATATACTCCTCTCCATTTTATGTGCTCTGCTCTTCATCTTCTTCCTCTCGGTTCTCTCCTTTTTTTTCTTTCTTTGCTTTAAAAAACCCAACACCAATTATGGTTGCTAGCTTTGACATCTCCTTCTTTGAACTCTAACATTGAAACTGTGATGTTGAAGAACATGAAAATATCACATAAAAGAATTTAGACAAGTTTATTAATGAAATGTTGCAGAATAATACATAAACAATCAAATTACAGAATCATGAAATTGTAGAACAGATTTCATATACAGTATCACATCCATTCAATACGTGCAACAGGATTAATGGTCCTTATGACTGAAGTTCCTCTTATTTACATCTGCATTTTTACCAATGTGTACTCCGAGTACTTCTGGTGCCAACAGGAATTCAGAATGGCAAACTGGGTGATCCTTTAAGTATAGATGAAGGAGAAGAGACCATAAGACAGCTCATTTGCCTTCCCAAGTACCCCACTACTGTTATGTTGTCCAACATTCGGCATTTCTCATCAGAGTGAGAGTGGGAAGAAGCCATATATCACTCAAGAACATTCTGTCCTTGCAAACAAAACCCTTCTTTTGTTTTCATTTTTTGGGATGAAAACAATGAAGATTCCTTTCTGACGCTTTGCAGGTTTGAGAGTCGTTTTCTGCATCCTTCGTGGTGCGCCCGCCTGGGCTCACCTCTGCTTTCTTCTTCTCCGCCAATTCCTTCCCGTTTTCGCCTCATCTTCCTTTCTCTTAATATCGCCTTTTCTGGCTTCAATTTCAAAAACCCTAAAATGTCTACTGTGTTTTCTCCTTCCCAATGTCTAGCCCTGAATCTTCGACCAATCTTCTTATCCAGAATCATCCATTTGGCAGTTCGTAGTTTCTATTTCTTGCAATTTTACTCGAGTTACGTCGACTCTAAAAATCGATGGGTACCTCACCTGTGGAAATCCAAGTGCTGAAGTATTAAAGCTTGGGTTTGGGTGATCTGTATATTCATCAAATTACAGGATGGATTGCCGGATTTTGAAGGTGACTTATCTATTAAAAAACTCTCTGACTTAATCTTGCTATTCTTGCTTTGTGGTTTGTAGGATTAATTTCCAGATATGGATATTAGTGTTTTGCAGAGAAGATAATCCATCTCCATTATCCCTTCATGTTTTTCGAGTTTGGTGCCTAAAGTGTGATGATTGTGGATCTAATTTTCGAATTGCTTTTACGGTTTAAGTGTTCTGATGCTTTTGGTTGGTTTTGCCAAGTTTATCTTGGTTTGGAGAATTCTGTTACCTTTGTTTATGGCTTAGTTAGTACGGTTAAAAGCAGAAATAATCGAAAAATATTGCTATGTTATGTCAGTGGTTTTATCTCTATTTTTGCTTCGTTGAGAGGAGGGGATGACATGAAGAGAGGTACTGATGTAATCAAGGGGTGGGTAGTATGGAGTAGGTCATTGAGAGGGAAGTTGGTTGTGGGAGAAGTTCTTTAATGAGAAGTTGCTGGCTTTCTTCTCTTATGGATCTGCTTTTTCAAGCACTATCAGTGGGGTATTTTTATTCAAGGATCTCGATCAAACCTCTCTGTCTTCTTGTCGGTGTTCCATTGCATGAGATAGCTATTTTAGGCAAGTTGCAGGAAGGGTTATGCTTGCTCTGTAGCTGTGAGTCTTTGGATCCATCTCTTGCCCTGTTCTTCACTTTTTGAAGAATTGAAAGATGCCCCAGCTATTAAAGAGCTTCCTTGTTGGAGATGTGTTGCAACTTGCAAGTAAGGTGTTTGGGACTCTCCTCCCTCAAGTTATGCATTTGCTGGAGTGTTTAATTTTTTGGTAACTTTGTTTCTAGTTGTTTTTGCTTCTGTTGTTACTGTCTCCTTGTAAGATTTTGGTGATGTTTTAATGGTAGTACTAACTTTGCTTTTCGGCCAAAAGGAAAAAAAAAGAAAAAAAGAAAAAAAAGAAAAAAAAACATTAATCAGATCCGTTCCTTTCCCATTGCAAAACATTTTCTTGTGAAGCAGAGAGTAGCATAGTACACACAATGATGGTGTTCATTTTTACCTGCAGGCATGGAATTATTCTGTCCTTGTGTAAAATGATGTCACTATTCTATTATATCTTTATATCAGCGTGTATGTTTAGGCAATAGCGCAGATGGTTAGAAGATATGTAGCTTCACCAAGTACAAGATGATTCTGATTCTGGTGTGATTTCTAATTGCAAAGAAATAGAAGAGGAGTCGATAATTCAGGTATGCTCTACATATTTTTTTGTGTTTTAGTTACTAAGCAATTGAGTTTGAGCAAGCTTGTATCATAAAACTGGCTTACCTGCTGAAAAATTTGATCATACAGTGTGTAATTGGAGGCGCTCAAATTTAATGAATTGGGAAGAAGTCTTGCATCTCAGATATGTTCCTTAAAGCAAAACTGTCACCGGTAGGTCTCAAAACCAGTTTGGTAAGTTAGCTAATGAATCCATAAAGACATCCATGGGTAGAATTATATATATCTCAGAATTCATTTAAAAGGCACACATATACTTTTCAACCCTCTTGTTCATAATTTTATATACTTAAAAATCTTTTGAGAAGAATTTTTTTTATTGCTTGGTTTTGAGAAACATATATGACAATTAGTGCAACTAAGCTTGCCTGTTTTATGTAGATGTATTCTGTCCACTAAGGGGGATTTGAGGAGCAAGTTGATGCGGGATATTTGCAACATTTTTTTTTTTGGATTGCATCTGCTTTTAATAGTAAGTTTTTCAGCCTGGGAGATAATTTCAATCCTGGATTAATTTTTTTTAACTTCAATTCAATAGGGAAACTAAGCAATTATTTGAATGCACTTGAGAAATTATATCAATTGGTTATGCTGGACGAGTAACTCACTTAATGCATTAAGGGACATATAGACTGCAACAACAGGCAGCTTAAGAAGGGCTCCCTTGGGGATGTTTCTAAGGTACTTTGACTACAGGGAATCATTGAGTAACAATTGTGAGCTTGGAGTGTTTTTTCTTTTTTTCTTTTTTTCTTTTTGTTTCTGGTTTTTTCTTCAAATTGCTTTAGGTTTTAGGTCTCACCAAGAACTTGAGAAATAGTTGCTGTCATATTTATTTTAGTAGTGAATTTTTGGTGGCTTTGTCCCGTAGTTTTTCCCTCTACATTGGAGGGTTTTTCACATAAATTTGTATTCTCTTTTAGTTAATTTCCCCCGTGGTGTTTGACATTTGCTTGGCTATCTTTGAGACCTCTACTTTGATTTATTATTATTTGGCTTGAAAAATGGGCCTGGAGTGGTCTAAATAGAAACATCAAAGTTGATTGCCCATTGTGACACATTAAATCCAAACCAGGACCAATCAGATTCTGTTCTTGGGCTAGCATCAACTGCTGGTTTTTTTAACGTAAGACAAACTTGGAATCATTTATAAAGGTAGAATGGTCAATGCTATTATGGTCTTCAAATTCCATACCCATAGTCCCCTCAATTGGATGACACTTGTTTACTGTGCAATGGTGACATGTAGAGTCCAGGGATCACTTCTCTTTACTGTAGCTACACAAGTAGAGTTTGGCAAAGACATTTCTCACAAGGCATGCATACCATGTTTTGCTTTGTGGGTAAATTTGTTACCATGGCTTTGCAAGAAACTGAAAGAGAAAGTCAGTTTATGATGCTTATGTTAAGCATGATTGGGCTTGGGCTGCATCAATTGATAATATTTGGCAAGAAAGACACACAAGGCTTCATAAGAGTTATTCCAGATAAGATTCTGAAGAAGTTTTCATTCCCTATTGTTCAAATAAATAAATAAAAGTTGTTCCTTTTTGAGTTGTCCCCTGACAGTAGTAAGCTATTTCCTCGAAGCTGCGTGGATCAATAAAATTTACTACGCCGTGAATTCCACTAAAATGCAGCCTAATGGTCACGCGCCTCATTTGAGGGGTGAAATGTTCACAAATTTGGGAATCCCAGTTGCTAACAACTAATTCATATTAATTTCTTAACCATTACCTTTGTTAAGAAAAAAAAAAAATTTTACTACATTTTATAAAAGGAAAAGGAAAAATGATTGAAAGGGAGAAGGTGAGGAAAGGGATTAAAGAGCAGGGAAAATTCCTGGAAGAAAGCGAAGACTCGGTAAAAGCTGAGGCTGCTTTCGAAGTTGTTTGTGGCCGGCAGAAAATGTCATTATTAATTGTTGGTGATGATGAATCATAATGCTTCATGTAAAATAATATTTGTATTTCTTTATCATCAACAGAGACTCCTTCAAAAATAAAGGGGAATGTTATTTATACAATCATTTTGTTTTTTTATTTTTTTACATGATGTGTCGTTAAAATGATAAATTTTTTTAATTTATGTAAGATTCATGATATTAAATGCATACATTCATTTAATGACATGTGAAAGTTATATAAAAAAAATAAAAAAATTATTCCTCTAACACCATAAAAAAAAAAACATCAAGACAAATGGGAAAAATCAAAATAAAAGGTTTAGCTTTTTATTTTTTATATGTTTGGGTTTTAGTAGTGGTAAGGATTCTATCTTAAGTCGTATTCAACAACAAACGACAAAACTTTTCCATTATCTTGTTGACCCAAACCACATTACAGAGACTTTTACGTCAACAAACAGCTACTGCCTCAAAACAAACCTTCCTTTAGGAATTAAAGAATTAAAGCTTTTTGTTAATGGGTACCTAATTTCTTCAATTTTTATTAATAAAGTATTATTTCACTGATCGAGAGAAACAAAGATCATTATAGAAGTAAAATGCTACACAACTTACATTAAAGAAATTGATTCTCAACACTAAGGGAGCATTTATCTATACATAAGACCTTGCCCTCATTAAGAGAATTATTGTACAATGTATCTTAAATGAGAGGTGTATTTTTTTATTGTTGTTCTAATTTTTTTTTTTTTTTATGTTTTATGTTCGGAAAAAATTTAATAGACAATCATTGTACTATTCATTTTAATACTAGAGTTTATTGCAGTTTTTGTCTTGTGGTATTTCCCTTTGTAAGTTTTCTTTGTAAATCTTGTGTTCTTTACTATCTATATTTTCTATGGTGCCTAATATATTTATATAGTCGTCACTAAGAGAACAAACAGGTATGAAACCATGTTTCTATATATTATTCAGCTATATATAATATATTTATATATAAAGATTAGTGCTTATCAATTTTACTTTTTAAAAATTAAAATAAAAATTATTTTAAAACTATATAGTTTTAATAAAACACTACAAGAAAGGAGAAAAAAAATTTAATTTATGCTTTAAAATAGGGTATTTTAATTTTTTTCAATGGGAGTTTATTGAAACGACGTAGTTTTGAAATGATTTTCTTCTTAATTTTTAAGAGATAAAACAGATAAACAGTATTTTATATATATATTCTGTATATATGCAAGTTGAGGTTCTAAGTTGTCCTACTCTACAAAGAAATTTTATTAAGACTAGAATAGGATCTAAGATACAAATATACATATTAATTAGAATTTACAATTACTAGTAATTACTCAAGAATATTATATTCACAATAATGAAGATGAAGCTGCAAAGTCAGTTTCCTTAATAGTACGTTTAGACTGGGGAAGTTAAAAGGG